TATATATATATACACATATTATATATACATATAGATATATATATATGATATCATATTTTAATATTTTAAAACTGCGGATCTTATACATCGCATATTTACGATACAAATATAACATCGAAAAAACAGTAGTGACGTGTCAGAAGAAGAAAAAACAGGTATGTCCATCAAAATTATTTTGCAAGAACATACACTCTAATTGTAAAACTCTTCACCAATCTGATATTCTGCAGAATCGTTTTCTTCGTACATGATTATATCATCTGTATTTGATGTATTCTTACTAAAATCATAAGCTTTTTCTCCACTTTTAGGTTGTTTATTATCCACCTGCTTAATTTCTCTCCTTGTCTGTTGAAAAGCTTTTCTCGCTTGAGGTTCCACACTTGAGCCCTTTAACTCTTTAACACCTGTTTATGAAAAGTAATAATTTTGCAAAAATAGATGTTATATTTAAATCTATAGTTTTACATATATTTAAAAAGACGTTAAGAAGGATTAAAACAAAGATCCTCCATGCTCATTTTAATTATATCTCACATATAAAATTTAATTATTTATAACTGGGAAATGGTAATGTTTAATCTGATGAAAATGACTACAACAAAGTATTTTATATAGAATCATATTAATAAATTTCTCTATATTATATATTTAACAAAAAATTATGTATACTATTAATCATACTATTAAAATTAGAATAAAAAAGAATATTAATAATTTATTATTTACGTTTTGGCATCTTATCATGTTCCTCTTCTACCACTTCTTCCTCTTCCTCCTCCTCTTCTTCCTCCTCTTCTTCCTCTTCATCTACCTCTTCTTCTGCTTCTTCAACTTCACTATCTTGTGGAGTAGGTAATTTTCCATATTTTGCATCTAATTTAGCTATTAATTCAGAATCGTCAACATTTTCGATTTCCTCATCATCTTCTTCATATTCTTCTTCATCTTCTTGTTCAGCTTCTTCTTTTACTTGTTCTCCGTCTTCTTCTATTCCAGAAACATGTTCACCTTCTGATGTTTCTAATTCATAATCTTCTTCCTCTTCTTCTTCTTCTTCTTCTTCCGATGATATTTTAGATTGGCCATGTTCAATATTCATTTCTACAATTAAGAATATAAATAAACAAATCTGTTGTACAATTTATCAATAAAAGGTATAAGAAAATATATATAATGAAAAACGATAATGTTATTAACACTGCACCTTCTTTAGTTATACTTTGAGCTGGCAATTTTTCTTTTATTTGTGTTGCTCCATCTTGTGGAATCGATTTCGTCAAGTCGGTTGAAGAAATATTTTTATTTTCTGACTTATTATATTTGAATTTCAAATCTTCGTAATTTTTTACTTGTAGAGGTGTTTTATTTTCAACCTTTTCAGTGGACTTAATTACTTGTTTAACGTTAGGAGGTGAAGTTATCGTTTCATGTCTTGATAAATCAGGTACGTTGATTATATCATGCGAAGAACGAAAAGTACCAATATCAACTAAAAATTTGAATTATTCGTTGTTCATCTATTGATTCTAAATTTGTTTTTCAAACATGTCAAATATACTTTAATTGAATTATAATCAATTATAATAAATTCATCTACATAAACAAATTACTTACCTGCAAAATTTTTATTTAATCTTTTTAATTATAATAATATAATATTATATAATTATTCCAATACTTTTTTTACATCTGATATTGATTCTAATATGTGTTATATTAATAATTCTTTTTATATATCCTATAACAATTATAAAAAATATGCTGACATAAGATAATGTGTAAAATGAAAAATTTACCGTTGTTCCATCGTCTAACGAGAACAAAATGCGCAGCAACAACAAGTGCAACACCGACCCCAAACTTCACAGCCACTGCAACCACCATATTATTTCTGATTGCTACCTTTTTTATTATAAGAAAATATCGTGATTATTATAAAGCAAATATATTTTAATTATATACTATAGTGCTGATGCTGGTATTATCTATTGTTTGGTTATTATATGTTATTATAATTAAGCGAGATAAAAATTAAAGAAGAGCATGGAGGATCAAATATGATGTCTATATTTATGTAATTATCCGAAGATATTGTTGATATATATTTTGTTATGAACACGATCATGATTACTTACCACTAACAGGTTCTTCATCTTCTTCTTCCTCTTCGAGTTCACTATCTGTATCATTTAAATTTTCTTCTTCAACTTCTTCACCTTCTATCTGATAAAAACGCATCAATGACAAAATATTGTTAATATAAATAAAATAATCGTTGTTAAAATAGATTATTTCACAGAAATAGTTATAAATTAGACAATATGTATATATACAAAAATAATAGAGAACAATATGTATATACCTCTTCCAGAGGTTCAGCACTGTTATCATCGATTTCATTAACGCCAGGTATACCTAGGAATTCCTCAGATACATCATTGTTCTTGTCTTCTTCAGAATTGTTAATAGTACTAAATTCATCAAAGTCTATATTATTTTTCTTATCTACATCTTCGTCCTCATTTGTCTCATCAACTTCTTCTAATATACCAGTCCCGTCAAATTCCTGTTGCACATCATCATCAACTTCTTCAGCAATATTTTTGTCTTCCTTTTGTTCCCTTTCGTTTTGATCTTCTGAAGATATTATTTTAATAAAAAAAATATGCTTGAAATTTTTATCATATATCGCAATTCACGTACCATCTGATGTATCTTCAATTTCTACGTTATTCTTTTCTGCTCTCTCTTCTTCTTGCTCTTCCTCTTCTTCTTCTTGCTCTATTTCTTCCTTATCTTCTTCGTCGTCATCGTTGTCATCATCGTCGTCGTCGTCGTCATCGTCATTGTCGTCTTCTTCCTCCTCTTCCTCCTCTTCTTGTGTTTCTTCCGTACCTTGTTCTATACTTTCATCGTCTTCTTTCTCAACTTTTGTCGACTTTGCATCACGATCTATTTCCTTTTCTTTCTCTTCTTCTTCCCCTTCCTCCTCTTCTTCCTCTTCCTCTTCTTTCTCTACTTCTTCGCTTACTTCTAGTTTTTCTTCTAGCTCACCATGATTGGATGGCGAATCATCTACCCAGCCTTCAAATATACCTGCCCAACGTGACGATGCTATTGGCGTATCAACTTAAAATATAAAGATGCGATTTTAGCATTTCTTTTTACATTTAGTTAGTTAAATTATTGCTCTATGTCAAAAGATCTTATTCTTTTATTTACCATCTGTGGTTCCTCTATGTTCGAAGATTATTATACCAATTAATCCTGCAAGAACAGCCAATAAAACAAAAAATATAATTCGAGCACACCAATGTCCGCCTGTGCTGCTTTCTTTATAAATGTGAATGGTGACATTTTCGGCAGAAGTATCAGTCGGGCTAATCAAAGTAGGTGGTGGGGTACCAGTGTCTTCGTCATCTAAAAATATAATAAAAAAAGTGTTTGAATTATTAACAATTTATATTTGTGTACATGAACTTAATAAATAAAAAAATCATAGAACACATGGAAATAAAGAATAAAATTATTTGTAAACATTGTTAAGAGGAGGAGAAGAATAAAAGAAAGAGGGAGAGAGAGAGAAGAGGGAAAGAAGAAAAGATCGAAAGATAGAATAGCTCTTTATGATATTGTCATAAGTTTAAAAGCGGATATATGAAATGAAACTTGAAAATGTGATATTACAAATACATATACGATAAATATAGTGTTATTATTTCAATTAGTAATTAATTTTCTTAATGAAAGTATAAAGCAGGTATCGTCATATGTATAAGAGAAATATGCAATAACATGTTTAAAAAGTAGAGCAAAATTTAAAAATAGTTGGACAAGAATATGCTTTTGGACTGGATAATACAGTTTAATCTATTTTTGAAAGCTGAAGGGTATGTTGGCTCGAAAGTTACTAAAATCCGTATATTCTAATTCGAATGACTTTGCCAAATTTTCTTAGGTCAGTCGAAACCCAAGCAATTGTACTTTTATAAGCCGCATTTAATGAGAGTTATATTAATAAATAATCTATAAATCTCATCTCAGCTAACGACACGATAGTGCCCGTTTATTAATATTTTGATATGCTCCAATTTAAAAGAAATTGATTGCTATTTGGGATAAAATAGCGCGAGACACTTGCAAGCTGTTTTAAAATAAAAAAAATTCGTAAGGTATAATTTAAAATTAGGAGACACGGCACTAAGATATAATTTTTACGGAAACTGTATGAAACAGTAAGCTATTTTCTTTTAACAGTAATAATCATACAAGACAATTATGTAATGTAATTGATCTTACAATTGCTTTTTCATAAGAACAATGAGACGTTGCAATAAATATGCAATAACTATTACAACTCTTACAAGTTATATTGAAGAATTAATGGATATGAATTTAATAAAAAAAAAAAATCGAAATAAAATGTATCGCGCGCACATGATCGGGGCCAGTGGCTGTCAATGGCCATCAGTGACTGCTATTTGCTGACAGCCACCGTACGCGGATATTTTTGGAACTTGACAGAAGATTGTAAGAATAAAACTACATTATGCGCCCGTAATATCGTAGGCCCGCGCGAGGCCGTTTTCAACGTAACACGTTCGTCTTGCAAATATATGCGTAAAATACAACGAACGTTAAGTTCGTGGGGCATGAAATCATAATCACAAAATCTCATAATGGCGCGCAAAGCGCAAAACGTAAATTCTTTAGTAAGAAACGTAAAAAAAAAAAAGGAAGAACGTAAGCGCGGCGAGATTTTGATCGATGTTTTCAAATGAAGGAAACGAGAAAGACGTACTTGAATCAAAGCAGTGCCGATAGGAGTGTTGGGATAAAAATAAAAGAAACAAACATTGCTAAAAATATCGTACAACTGTAGGAGTCGTGTTACGAAAGTGCTCTGTCAATTGCACTCAGTTTTACCTTTCTTACGTCGTTTTTCCTTCCGTTTCCTTGGCTGCACATCGCCGGACATTCTTCGATGAGTGAACGCTTTCCCGAGTACTGCTGATCGTCGCGAAGAATTTAAATTTTCAAACGTCAATCGTTCACCGCACCACTCTACAAAAATTTGATTCGCGGATAGTAGATCGGCGCTGCCGAGCGCGAAACATCCTAATATAAATTTATTCGATATTACTAGAGTAACTAGCGCGTTGCGCATGCCACCTGCAATTCATTAGGTTTCTTCGCGGGTTCTTACACTTCTTGCACTCGGAATCTTTGCTTCCTCACTCTCTCTTTCTCCCCGTCAAACGTCCGAATATACATTTATCTCGTTTTAAGAGCAGATATTTTTTAGGGATTTCTAGCAATACAAACAAGTCTATTATTATCCATTGTTATTGATTTATCAATAGTATCAGTCGGTATAATAAAAATCGAACATGTGCAGATTAATATTATAAACTCATGGCCGGTGTAGAAATTTATTACTTCTCGCTCTTTATCAAAAATTTAATTTCATAATTAAAAAAAAAAGAAATATTTTGTATTACATTAATTCTTTTCGTTTACAATTTTTAATTATTATTTAATAAATTGTTGCCATATTTGTGTCGATTATTTCGAAAAAAAGATTGAATTTGTTGAATGGATACAATATATAGAGGAAATATTTTCGATGTTATCGAGACTGACAATCGATGCGACCAAGAATTGTCTCGAGATCATGTGGTCTTCTCGAATTATTCTCGAAATTATGAAAGCAATTCTTTTATATGCAGAAATTGTTTCATTCATAGAAAAATTTTATAAATTTTTTATAAAGTATTTTCTGTATGTAATACATGTAAAATTATTTTTCACACTTTTTTCTTTCAAATAATTCCAAATTGAAAAAAATTTTTTATTTCATATATCGTTATTGTCCAATAGAACTCGCCTTTTCCAATTATCGCAAAGAAAATTCGAACGTATATTAATTACAAAAGATCATTACACATTTATTCTTAATGAATACGGAAATGTTGATGCAAAACGCATAAAAATGCGCTATTGTACATAAAAGGACGTTTCGTTTATTGCAGGAAAAATTTATATACAATATTAAAATACACAAAAAGTGTATTACAGAACATTAGTTTTCTCTCTCTTTCGTTAAATAATGTATTATATACCAATCAGTAGAAATGTCCAAATTATATTATAGAATCAGCCTAAAGATATCGCAATGTTTGTAGCATATTCGTATAATATATTCATGATATTTCTGCTATAAGGATTATAATATATACATCATATATATATATATATATATATTGTATATATACACGTACACGTACGCATGTATGTATACATTGTATATGAATATACATGTACATAATGCTCTCTGTAAATATAAGAGAAAGCATTCTGGAGTCCTCGACATCGATTTTAAGGCACAAACTACGCTGAAGGTTTTCTATATTAGTTACTGGGTGAACACAACGAGAGAGATTATATAAAAATATTACTAAATTATTAATATAAAATTAATATAAATAATACCGTTCGTAAGTAGAACATATCACACATACCTGCATCAAAATTTTGAAAATATATAAATAAGACACATTTATTGTATTAATTGCAATTTTTTTTAAGATAGATTGAAACTTTGAATCTTTTAAATCATATGTAATAATTTGTCATGAATTTTTCAATTTTTTCAAGCTTCTATATAAAAAATTCCATAATAGTGGTTTTTAATTACAAACGATAAGCGTTCTTATAAACTTCTTGGTTATTTGTTGTTACTTAATACGTAAGAAAATTATATTCAATTTGTGTAAATAAAAAATGCAATGCAAAATTAATATTATTGGAAAACAAGAGAATACAAGATTAAATCCTTCTAAGGGAAATTTATTGCAATTGTAACAATTTTAAATAAACAGTTGACTTTAATAATCAATTATATAAACTAAGTTACATTTTCCTTCAAATATGAGGTACTTGACATTGATTGCGTTCACCAAAGAAAACTGATCAACGAATGCTCAGTCGCGCAGTGATTCTTTATTGATTCCTACGTTTAGATCCAGTGAAGAACTAAAGGCAAGAACTAATCATATTAAAGAATCACTAAGAATTCACTAATGTTTTCTCTGCTAAACGCAGCCATTAATTGGTTCGACCATATTTTACTTTAAAAATGATACTTGTATTTCTCTATATCGTACAGTAAGAAAAAATTTGCCAGCGCGATGTCATATAATAATAAACTAATATCATTTAAAATTGTTCATTAATTTGCATCTAACAGTTTTACTTAATGATTTATATTACCACAATATTTTCTACACTGAATAACGAAAAAATTCTATATACAAAGGCCTTGTATGGATATGTTAAGTTTTCAAACTAAGTTCACACACACAGTACCTTAATCTCGCTCAATATATTTAGATAATCCAACTATTTTATAAATAATTTGATTTATCTACAGATTTACTAAATACTTAAATCTTACAACTAGCAAATAGATAAAAAGATTAAATGGAGATTTATTTCCTACATGTGGAAAAGAGATTTCTGTACACTCTGTACATAACTAATGTTTATAAACTGTGTATAATATTTATATAATAATTGAACGATAACTATATACCTTTGCCTTAACAATTTTCTTGTTATTGTGTGTTATAATTGTTCTCTATTAGAATGGAGGGATTATAATCGTAATATTATATATATATATAGTATGGCTTGTAGAGCTATTTGACATATGAGTTTCACATCATAAAACATAATTTTCGGTTACAGTTGTTTTCACAACTCTATGCATTATAAATCATTGTTATATGAATATATATATATATATAATAAAAGTTATCTCTTTAGACAGCCTCAACTAAATCGATATTTTTATATTAATACATTCTTCTTCATGCTTTATCAGAATGAAGAAAAGTTTTTAGGCTTATTCACACACACATGGACACACACACACACTCACACATTATGTTTTCATCATATTCTCTCTCTCTTTCTCTCTCTCTCTCTCTCTCTCTCTCTCTCTCTCTCTCTCTCTCTCTCTCTCTCTCTCAGAATTGTTTCATTCTGTAATTTTACCAAAATAAGATTTCGCAGTAACTTTTCGATAATATACTATTTACATAATTAGAATTTATTGCAACAAAAACCAAATATTGTCAATACTTTTCAGAATTGCTCTGAAAAAAATATTATAGGCAACTAATCTTTTTTACATATATTAAGTATATGTGTTTTATTATCTTTATATTAATTAATTGCTTCACATCGATCTGTGATTAACGAATTAATCAGAGAATTAATAACAAATTTTTTAAATAATTAATTTTATCTTGGTGCAAGTGTTACAAAAGTATATCGCATGATCTAATTTTTTTTATTAATTAGAATAAAATAGAACAAAATTTGCTATAAATAGCAAAATATAATTATCATCATTTGTAACTATACAATTAAAGATATAGTCTTTTAATAAATGCCGAATGTTTACCTAACAAGTGTAAAAAGTTTTCAAATTAATTATAAATGATATATCTTAAATAGAAAATTTGTAGCTAAAATAGCTTAAAAGTTATTACGAATGCTGATTACATATTCTATCACAGAAAATTGATCAAATATTCATTCAATGCATAATTATAATAGTATCGTACACAAATAATATATGAAAACAAAAACTTATTAATATAGTAAAGTAATATTCAGTTTGGAAGTGCAAGATCTTTTTTGTTATACTTGTTACATAATTTCATTTTTTGTAAAAATTAACAGATCTAGCATTTTTCTGCACATTTAACATTTTTGTTTTTATATAACACGTTCAACGTTTTTATAACAGTCATATTAAAATAATTAATAGAATATAAGAGTTGATAATAAGAGATACGTATTCTTAAATAAATGTAGCTTTAAACTATTTTGTTTTATAAGAAAAGAAAAAATTTACAAAATAATAAATGCAATAAAAAAATTTACTTTCGTTTAGGCTCTTTTATAAAAAAAATTAATTTAATAAATTTAGTGCCTATACGATCAGATATCTTTTCCTACTGATTCGATTAAAAAATTTAAAACTCTTTAACAAATTATAATCAATTCTATTTGCAACATTAATAAGCCTTTTTGTTTTTATTTTATGTATTTATAATGAATTGTGTTGAAAATTGATGGAATTATATGTGAAAGATAACGATAATTGTGTCTACAATTACAGTAATTTTTCTACAGTCTAGAATAATAACTATTACATGATATTACATAACTAATGTTGAGTGTTTTATATCGGCGAGAACTCGGATTTTTCAATGGATGAGATTACAAGTTGTGCAATAACACAGCCAATGTCATGTTTATGCACATACATTTTCAATATATTGAAATGAGGTGATAATAAATAAATAATTAATAAATAGTAGAGATTTTGATGACAAGATGTTACGTTCTCTGCAAAACGTGGTAACACAAATCAAAAGATACGTTAAATTACATTGTTAAAATTCTCTCGTATTTATATCTAGTGTCCAGATATAAGAGATTAATTAAAACGATTCGTTCTAAAAGGCAGGCATACACAAACAGAAAAAACTGCCTCCAACAGCAGAGTCATTAATTTATACAGAATAGAAAGATTGTATATATATTCGTATACAATCCTATGTACATATTGTACATACGATATATACATATGTATATACGTGTATATATATATATACACACATATATAGCAATAAAAAAAGTAGCTAGAGGACTGTACTATTCTTTTAATTTAAAGAAACAATCAATGTAAAAATCTCCGTCTTTTTTCTTGTTTTTCGGAATTTTTTCTCAATTTCTAGGAACGTGCAACTTATATTTGTACATCATAGATAAATTAATGATTGCCACGCTCACTCATCGAATTACAAGATATGTCAGGGACCTCATCCTGTAATCGTCTTGTCAATGTACATTCGCTCAGCATTCTAGTGTTGTCATAATTTCCCAATTTTCGCGATAATGTACCTGATAAATTAATACTATCTGCCGTCAGTAGACTAGTGCTGTCTAACCTTTTATTATTTTCCATATTTTCATTAGCGTTTTTTTCCGATTTATCAGATCTTAATGTATTATTTAAACTATGATCGAATTTTCTGAGATCATTTTGGATACTCCTGATAG